GGGGGGAGGATGGGTTTGTTTTCAGATAAGTGTGAAAGATTCTCCTGTATTTCGAGAGGTTTGCAGAAGATATTACATTGGTTTTCTGGCATATCTATTTCTGGTGAAGATCAAACAGAATTAAGCTGGAAAGTATCCAAATTTGAAGTATTATCCATATCTGTTGAAAAAGACTACATCCCAGACATTATTGGTTTTCTGGCATATCTAATTCTGGTAAAGGTTGAAGAGAATGAAGCTGGAAAGTATCCAGATTTGAAGTATCATCCATATCTGTTGAAAAGGGCAAGTTTAGTGACCCCAATAGAGGGCTCTCTTCACCTTGTACATTATCTCTACTACATCTATTTCTTTCTAATTCCATTTCAAGACTGGAAACTTTTTCTTTAAGGTACTTATTTTCCTCCTCGCTGTTATACAAGTCTTTTGCTAAAGTCATAATTGTTACTTGCAACTTATGGATAATCTTGTCTTTCTCAAAACTTGGCCGTTTCGAACATGTTTCCATGCTAAACGTTTCAATAGGTTTTTCTTTTGATCTTGATATCCATGATGCCAGAGGAATGGATTTTAGATAGCTTAGCAAATACGGTGTTCTGTAAGTTACGTTTCCATCCTCCTCCTTTGAGTTCTCTTTCAAGACGTGCAGTAATGAGTCAGCGTTTTCAACAGAGTCGTACTGCTCTTCTGAGTGAGTATTCTTAAGTCCACCATCGGTATTATCTGTATCAGCTGCATTGGTTTCATTTGCATTAATATCTTTCTCTTCATTCCTTTGACTCATTTCAATTAAGAGTTGTTTCTTTCGTTTCTCTCTTCGTTGAGTTTCTTCCAAGAGGGCAGGCTGCCGTGTGTGGTGATCATGTTTTAGTTGAAGCATCTGCCGTATCTCCAGGCTTTCGGTCTTCTCTATTGCTTCAAGTAGGTATTCTTGAAAAATAAAAATACTTTCATTAAAAGCTTAAATAAGATTTTTTTTTTAATTTAGAAAGTTTTACAGTTAATCCTTTGAATTTATTTACATAAACAATCTCCCCTACCTCTGTTAAAACTTCTCGGCCAGTAAAATCCCAAACACCTGCTGGGAAATTTCATACACATTCATTGGGATTACACTTCCCAGAAAAAGTACATTATTGTTAATGTATATTATTACAGTACAGCAGTACAGTATCATTTTATAAATATAAGTTAACATACCAGCAGCTTTCTTGTGGCATTTGATGGCTTCATCATATTGTCTTGATAGAAGGAACTTTTCAACTCTCCTTTCCTGTTGGTTTGCCTGTAAGTATAAATATTTTGTGTAAATGACATTTTTTCCACATTTTTTACTTTATACCAGGAAAAAAAGTAGAGCCTGTGTTTATTTATATGGATGTTTATCAAGGGGAAAGAGTTCTTCAGATTCAATTAAATATTGCTGCACGTCTCATTACACGAGCACCTCATTGACAACATATCCCTCTGTTCTTCACTCTCTACACTGGCTTACCGTCACCAAACAAATTTCCCATAAAATATTACTTTTCATTTATAAAGCTCTCCATTGTTAGGCCCCTTCTTATATAGTATTTGATCTAATTC